ATTCCTAATATTAATAATAAAAAAATAAAGATATTGAAGATAATGATGATAAAGAGTATCAATCTTTGAATAAGAAGAGAGAAGCTTTAAGTAAAAGAAAACTTAGAAGAGACAATGGGATTCATCAAGAAAAATTATCTTCAAATAAAAAGAGATATCCTATGAGAAAAATAAGACTACTTAGTGAATGGTGGAAGAATCACATCTTTTTTCAAGTAAATAAAAAATATATCAATGTGATATTTTTTTGCTAATATCTTTTTGTGATGTAATAAAGCCCATATATGCTATGAAGTAGGAGAAGGCTATATAAAAGGAGTAAAAATTACTCATTGACAATAAAATATAAAAATCAATTCAATTTCTATCAAATCAACCTTCAATTGGTTATAAATAGGTGTTTAAAAGTAAGAGAGATAGAATGGACAATGTTGTAAGATACAAAATAAGATTGGTTGTCAAACACTATTTACAAGTTTTTGGTATTGATTTTAATGAGATATATGATCTTGTGGCTAAATTTACTACCATCAGAACAACTATGATAATTGAAGTAGAAATAGACTTGGAGATACATCAAATAAATATAGAGATAAATTTCTTGAATAGAAACTTAGAAGAAGACATTCATATAGATCAATCTTAAAGATTTATTGAAGAAGAAAAATAATAACTTATTTTGTAAGTTAAAAAATCTTTTTATAGCCTCAAAAAATCATCAATGACATGGTACCAATGAATTGATACATTCTTTATGAATGAAAGAGTTGTAAAGAGTAAAATTGATTATTCCATGTATATATAGTAATAAAAAAAGATCTTATTGATTTTCATTATTTATATTTATTATTTAGTTATCTTAACAAATACTTTAAAAATAATAGATTAGTTGAAGGTAAAATTATAAAAAAAGCCTAAGATGAATGATTTGAAAAAACTTCACTATTGTTTAGAAGTAGAGTTTGTGAGAGATTATATTAAAAAAACTATTACAATGATTCAAAGAAAGTATATTAAAGAATCAATTAAATGATTAATTATTGAAGAATTCAAGCCTATTGGAACACCTTTGGTGGCCAATTTGAAATTAATGAAACTCACAAATGAAAAATTTACTGAAGTTGAAGGTCAAATATAAGATGTTCCATATATGGTAATATTAAGCTCATTTATTTATGCAATGGTTAGTAAAAAGATGGATCTTATATATGAGTTGATTTTTGTGAGTTAACACATATTAAAGGCTAGATCCATCTATTGGACAACCATCAAAATGATCATGAGTTATATAAAAGATACTTTGCACTTCAAATTACATTTAGGATGTGATAACATTCCTTTACATGGTTATTATTATAAAAATTGGGCTAGAAATATAAATGATAGAATGCCAATAATAGGATATATGTTCTTTGTTGGAATGGCAGTAATTACATGGAATTATAAGAGACAACCAACAATTACAATGTCTATAAAGGAGATAAAGTTCATGACAATAAGTCATGATGCAATAGGAGCATTTTGACTAAGATAAGTTTTGAAGGATATTGAACTTATATAATTGGAAATAACTCTAATACAGTGTAATAATTAAAGATATCTTGATTTTATAAAGAATCTAAAATTTCATACAAGAATAAAATACATTGATATTTAACATCACTTCATTAAAAAAAAGATTGAAATAGGAAAAATTGATATAAAGTATTGTGCAATGAGAGACATGCTTTTGATTTACTTACTAAGGCATTAGTAAAGATAAACATCACATATTGACAAAGGCATTAGGTTAAATAACTTTTGATCAATAATAAAATGAGAGTGTTAAAGTAAGTGAATAAAAATAAAAGTAGAATAAGTTACCATCTAAAAGATATTATCTTAGATAAATTGTTAATGGTCAAAATGATAGCTTTTAGGATATAGAAAGATCAACCTATAGATAAATCATAAAGTTAAGTACAAAAAATAAGATCAATAAGATAAAAGATCTATTAAAGAATATACAAAGGTATGTGGAAGTATAAAGTAATATATTAAAAAATATGCTTGTGGTAGGTAGAATTCCAAATGATATATTAGATATATTCTTTGGTGAATGTAAATGTCAAAAGATAAAAGTTTTCTATAATGACAACAACTACCACTTATATATAAAGAGTATTGGAAGTGAGAGTTTTTTTAATCCATACTTTTCTTTGTATGCAATCTTATTAATGCTAAGTATTAGAAGTTTTAACTTTTCTTTCTTCAACACAACAATGCTGTAAAATAGAAAAAAAAAATGAACACTTTTTCAAATATCTTTTATAGATCTAACTTCAATTAGAAATATTATGTATTTATTTAATTTCTTTATATATATTTTTAGGTTGTGTAATTGAATAAAATAAACTATTTTTCTAATGGTTTTGAAGGTGATATTTTCTTAAAAATAAAAGAAATAACAATGTATTTAACAAAAAAAATCATATCTTTGTAATAATAATAATATTATTTATAACTTCATTTGATTTTTTTATACAAAAAAATATGCAATTTATTCTTGTGTCCATTGCTCATAACTTATATTTAAGTCTAAAAGCAAGACATAAGGAACAAAATCATTCTTTTAATAATTATTCTTATATTTTTAAAAATAAATGTTCTAAAAATAAATTTTGCATGGTTTAGGATATTCTATGTAGTGAGAGATCTTTACTTCAAACACATGTAAGCCATATTATTTTGAAACATTGAATTTTTCCTTAGACTACTCTCATCACACTTAAGTTTAGGCTATCAAATTAAACAGAGTAATATTTTAAAACCCATCCAAAGCACTTCTTAGGATAAAAATTGATTTCAAATAATTATCCTCTTTAATATTCCAAATTTACAATCGATCCTCAATGGCCAATCGGAACCCCACTATCAAAATTCTCCACAATCAAAATTTCGCCTAGTCAGGACAGTTTCGAGATGGTTTGTGTTTGAACCCACGTACTTGTGGTGAACCAGTTTCAGTCTTCCTCGGTGTGCTCTTTAAGCAATCACTTTATGCCAGGTGGTCGTCCTCGAGCGCAGACTTCCATCTTGTAGTTGATTGAAGCTCGGGATCCCCGTTTCTTGCCTAAGCTTTCTCTGCGACGGTCAAGCTTCTTCTTCGGGTGCAGAGCTGGAGGCTGATGGTAGTCAGCTGTTTCTTACTTCGTCTCAGCCACTCTTTCAGAGCATTCCTGCGGTGAACCTTCAAGGTGGCGACAATCGTAACAAACCTCGAGATCTTAGAGGCTTCGTCTCTCTTTCCACCAAAGGATAAAGCGAAAGTTGGTATCAGCTCTCCAAATTACTTTCGATACTGTGGTTACCTTAAACAAGGCGGTGAGGTCAAGATTTGTAAATAAAGGACCGATCTAATCATATGTATACGCAATCTAAAAGAAGGAAGCATCATTTGATGATTGTTCATCTGACGTTTGTGTGAGTATCATTACAGCCAATTAAACATTGTCCTTCGTCATTGTGAAGGTTTGTAACCGATTTGTGCTGGTGAGAGAATTTCAAAACCTTTAAAAATTCCACAAGATCCTCGACCCATGAGTAAAATTCTGCTATTGACCTTCATCTCAGTTAGAGAAGAGAGAGGAGCTGGGGACAACATCATCCCTATATACAGATACTAAAACCTGTAAATATCGTACCTTCCCTGAGAGGGTAAGCAATTTGCGACGACATATGCACACACGTCCGCACGTCTTCCTAAGCGAGTTTGATTATCTTTCCACTCTCATTCTCGGTCTCTGCGCATCAGTCAGGTCTACTGTAACCATCGTTCCCTTAAAATAACAAACCGTTTCTGAACAATCCATCAGGCCATAAGTGGCATGATTATCTATTAGAGAATCTTGTGGTATTCATTGCCATTGGCAACTTATAAAAAATGTAGGAAAGCTACACACCACTACATTCTTACGGAGAAGGCTCCACCAATGAGCAGCAGTGAGGGAGCATGCACTACACCTCACAATCTCTTTTGCTGAATCAAGATGCACAATCATGAGCAATGAGCCACAGCAGTAGATGATCAGCATGTGGGACCAAACGAGGTGAAGTGAGGAGTCACTCTTTCAAGATGGCCAAGTTCAGAGAGGGCACATCCGGACTGACAGTAAAACTTGCAGCTCTGCATCATCATCGACTTCGACCTTCTGGGACCTGGCTGAGCTGCAAAATTACCAAACGTATGCACATGCCATGAAACACTACACAAAAGATGACAAGCTGCAGGTACTTGCTTTGATCAAGTGGACCTGGAACTTTTTGAGTATACATCAAACCTCACATAAAATCCCCCGGTGATATGGAAAGGCAGCAGGCAAGGACGTAAAACAGGTCTCAAGAGCATATCTCAGCTATTGCAAAGCTGAATCCGAAGCATGTTGAACTGGTCATTCAAGAACCAAGAATCAAGATTATGCCCATCCTAGAATCCATCTACCTTGAATCACATTCAACCAGCTGCAAGAAAGATACAAAATGAAAAATAAATCATCAGAATTGAAGAAGCAGCATGCACAAATAGAAACAACAGCGTCACATTCATATCAATTAATGCTCTCGCCACGACCATCAAGGCATCGGAGCTAATGCGTCCCTTCTCCCCCACCACACTAAACTCACCTCATGCCATGGAAAGCTCGAATTAGAACAACCAAAACACTACAACTTTTTTTTTTTAACAAAAGAAAAAATCGCTTCTCAGAATTGATTCACTCTTTCAAGTCGACTCTATTCAATGGCCTGGTTGACGAATGTCGTCAAAGGCGGCATCCAGATCTATGGATGAAACCGATTCCAAAGCCCGGCCAATATGATGAAAACGGGATGGGAGCTGGTTATATTGATACCCTTACCCTGGAAGAGGCGGTCATGGCGTTCCCGACCCTCACTGATGGAGGGAACTGTCGTGATCAGATTTTTTGAAAGTTGAGATGCGCGCTTTGTTTACCTTTGTGAGATTGAGTTCTGTTGATATGCATCGAAGTTCGTATCTCTTGTTTGTTTATATTGCTGTGGAGATGAATTCGAAGTGAGTCATTGCGTACTCATTAGCTGGAACATCAATTTTTCTCGGTGCAGTGTGGTATGTGAGGAAAGTACGAAATATCATGTTCCGACACCGGTTTAATTCCTTCAACTCTACTGGGATGGATCTGTCGGAAGAGGACTCGGTAATACACTACGTTCTTAATGATGGTTGTCGTTGTGCTGCTTCTGCTTCTTCTGCAAAGTCTTTCGAGAACGTTTTTTTTAAGGTGTAGTTGGTTTTAGGATGAGACACAAAGCTTTATGATCTTTTTATGAGCGTACAGCGATGTCACCTCAAGAAGCCTACGAACATGACATTCGGAATCATATTCTTTACCTGTAGCAGATAAGTTCAGTAAGCACGAGGCATTGTAATTAGTGTAAACTAAGATGCGTTTCTTCTTGAAATGCTCTGCGTGAGAAATCGCGTCTACTGTCAAGCTACTCTCGAGGTTGTTATGAACATTCCTTTTTGAAAATTGATACCGTCTCTGTCTCATTCTACAGTCCTAAAATAAAGTAAATCAGAGATGTCGTTAAACATTGGATTCTTATTCCTGGCTTTGTGTCACCTTTAAAGAATCGCTGTGCGGATGTTTGTACCGATCCTCTACGTGGATAGCGGAATTGACAGGAGGGCCATTGAAGAACGCTTTGGTTATGGTCCCCCCTTGCAACCTGCGAAAGGTATGCTATTCTGTCGGGTGACTATTTCAACTACGATTGCCGTTACGGGCATGGTAACTGACAGTTATGATCAATCTACAGTAATAAGTTCAGATCTCCAGGGTGATGCCAGGAATAATTATATACCTATACTTTCTTGAGTCAGACGAGGTTGCTGTGAACTCGGACTCTTGTAGGAGCACCAAAAGTTACATGAGCCTTCTTACACCAGCCGCACATTTCTGAGGGATTTTTTCGCAGCGAGAAGAAGCATAATTTACTGATATGTAAAAATTGGGATGCCATCAGAGGTCTCATTACACAGCGAGAAATGTGATTCAAAAGTCGCAACAACCAATCATAACATCCATCGCTTTATATGGATGAGCTCTATAAAACTTGACCGAAGTTAGGGTACTAGACTTGTTAAACTCTGACTTGGTTACAATGTTGCGACTGACTGCCAGAATTATTTCCTCATTAGGCCTGCATACGCACAGATCGTATTCAACATCAGACCTCTTACAACTTTTCAATCATGTACAATAATGATGTCAGGCAGTAAGCGATGCAACGAGAAGTGATTCTGATGGCTGATAAGCCCGCTTCCTAAAGAGTGTGGAATGTTGTTTCAACGATCATTACGAAAGGAGCTCCTCAATGTAAGCGGCAGAGAAAGTTTTGTTTCCAGACGCATTCATTGCGTCTGACTAACGATTTGTCACAATCCTCACTTTCGCAAGGGTATTCTTTTTCAGGTGAATTTGTCGATTGAGCTTTTGAACAGTCATTTTTTTCCCTGATCGTCCAACGCTCGCAGCACCTGTCCTTGAAAATACATTCCTTTGGACTTTTGGAACTTTCAAAAATTGAGTATATGTTCACCAAGGTATCGCTATTCTCTTGTGGCTTAAATCCAGCATAGTGATGATTACGTTTAGAGTAAACTTATATCATTTTATTTTGTTATTACTTGCAAAACAAAGGGTAAGTCGTGGTACATTCGTGGTTGACCAGTTGAATTCCATGACTGCAGAAGTTCAAGATCATGAACAATAAGGCTTAACCAACATGTCCTGGAAACAGGAGATTGTCAATGAAATACCAGGTCTTCGTGAAGCTGCCACTGTTCTTGAGAAGTTGCAGATGTCGGCAGTTTTCTATTAACACTAATGGAAGCCTATCCATTCGCCACTCAGACGATGCAGTACATTGTAGAGGGAACATGGGAACAGCAATCTTGTGATACAATTGGACGGTACTGGTGGATAATTACTTCCTAAAAAAAACGCCTTCGCCAGTAATGTCTGACAAATCGCGAGGTAAATGTTTACAAGTTGCTTTTGTAAAATACTTCTCTGCTGGTTACCTCGGCATGCAGCGTGAGCCGCACACATTATCAACATCAAATTTTCCCTTTTGATTTGTATCATAGAAGTTGGGCCTAAAATCTGTAACTAGCCCCTCAGCTTTCGTACTTCGAGGATCTAATCCGAGGCTCATACGTCTGATGTCATTAACATGTCAAATCCGTCGTCTAAGTTGACAACTCCGGAGTAAAATTGTGCTTCGATAGACTTATACCTAGGAAACGGGATCATAGTTTCAGTTCAATGATCTCAGGAGCGGAATGTGCTTTTTACACATCAGTTTGGCCCGAAGAAGTGCTTGGCAACTGCTTGGTAGAGATGATGCTCGTCAAAGGGCTTAGCTACGTAGCCATCCATTCCACAGCGCATGCACTCTTCCGATGTGGCTTGAATGACGTCGGCTGTCATCGCCAGGATTGGCACATGCAATCGGCGTCCGAAAGAGGAGAATCTCCCTGCTTGCCAATTGTCTACGGCTGCAGCTTCAGCCTTCCTTATTAATCTTGTGGCCTCAAAACTGGGACAGCACATTTCAAAGTTAGATGTTCTGACTACCAATGTATATGCAGACTCCTCAACACTAACATTAGACCAAGAGTAATTCTTGATGGAAGTCAAAACATCCTCTCAATTAATTAAGTACAGCTCCAAGCAGAAAAACTCTTTAAATTGTTTCTAAGCTGTGATTAAATAAGTTGAATGTTAGCAGGAATAAATGCTTCCACAGAAGCACGAAATTGTCCGACTTCATTCCTATCTTGCATTGGATTTTGCACCAAGGTAACAACTATGAAAGTATATTTGAGTTTTCGAATGAACCTGCATCATGAATTTGATGCAAGCATCTCAGAAAATTTACCAAATGACGAAAACTCGAGTGGGAAAGAAACCCTACCCATCCATTTCTGGCATTTGCACATCCATAAAACAGGCATCGTAATTGTGCGGAGGCTTCAAACTTTGGATCGCAGCTCTCCCACTGTTAACACAGTCAACTTGGGCGCCGTACTTATTGAGGGCCCCGGCAGCAACCTTACGATTCACGGGATTGTCATCAACCACAAGAATTCTTTTCCCAGTTAAGAGGTTCTGAAGGGAATTAATTCCCCCCTGTAAATTCTGCCCTTGATCCCGGCCCCCATCCCCAACCCCAAGTATCTCCTCGAGGGAAGCAGCTACCAAGCTTGCTCGAAGAGGTTTCCGAACAACAGTATCGACAAATCCGCTAGCCTTGACCACACTAAGCTCCATCTCATTCATTGATGTCGCTACGAGAACCATCTTCTTCATGGAGTTTAATGTTGGATATCCATTTGGAAGTCTGCCCGCTGCTGAACGATACTGGTAGCTGGTTAGGCCACTTTGGTTGTGACTCAATTGGCCGATGAAACTTTCAGTAAGAAGACTTCGAAAATTCACCCACGTTCCAGGACCCCAAGCGTCCTTGTCCACAAAAATCAATTCAATATCTGTTGCAAAAGAGCTGAAACAATACGCCAGATCTTCATGAATAAGGGCATGAAAATGGATAGAGACTAGAATCGACATTCACATACCTTCAATCCAGGAAAGAAGAACGATCGATCTAAAACTCAGTTATCAATAAATACCATATCAATGTGCTTCTACCGAGCTTTGATAATTATCAGGCTACTGCATCACAAGAATGAGACTCTGTTGAAAAGTAAATCAACGAATACATATGGAGCTCAGACTCCACAATCCAAGAACCCAATAACTAAACAAACGTACCGTTGTGAATCCCTAGAGCCGCGATTTCCGCGATCAACGGTTGTGGTTAGAAGTTCGGCAGCCTCACCAGGAGTGTGGGCGACCTCAACCTGTCACGAACAACAGATTCTTGTAAAGAAAGGAGACCATATTATTCACAGAAAAGTGGAGGATGAAATACTCAGAGATAATGCATTAATCAAGACAGTTGTCTTGTAAATGACATGGCGAACGAAATTGTGCTGTAAAATTAATGGTGCATGAAATCCTAATTTCATGACCTGAAATAACTTCACAATAAATTAAAAGTTCCTTAAAAATCGAAAAAAAGATAGAAGAGCAGGACACAGACGGCAATACCCGAAGTCCAAGCCTCTGCAAATGATGTCGAGTGACTTCACAGCGGACTTTTCGGCCATCCACTACCAGTACACGCATTCCTTGGAAACACGTAGTTAGCGGCGGCGTTTGTAGATAACAGTTTCTGCCTTCTCTGAGGATATGTTCGGGTACATTTGCAGGTACACGTTGTAATTCTGCAGTAAACGTGAATGTGGACCCCACTTTAGGATGACTAACAAACTCCATCTCCCCTGACATGAGGTCTACTAAGGAACGGCTTATGCTTAGTCCAATTCCTGTTCCTCCATAATTTCTTGATGTTGAACTGTCGGCCTGCACAGAGTAAAGCTTGTGAGCATCATTCCGATGTAAACATCACAAAGTTTCCTCACCAATATATGGTACAGGTAGCTTAAAAGTACAGGTCAAAGTAAAGATCACGAGTACAGGGTAACCAGCGCATGAAGGCACAAATCAATCAGCGTACCAATCCACCATTTAAGGACAAGATTTTACAAATTCTTTACAAGACAGGCACACCCTTAATCTAATCCAAGTGTGAGCCCGATTGCTTGTGTAGCACTGGAGGATGTGCTGTAATTCTACCTACATCTACATGAAGGTTGAAATATCATCTCGCTTTCATTTGTTGGGGATAATTTATTATGCAGTAAGCGAATTATGCCGAAGACATTAAATGGCAACTGACTCAGGCATCCACAACATTGAAAATGAATTGACTTTCCAAAATCTATATTTAGCTTTTTTACCTGCATGAAGGGCATAAAGACACGGTCTTGTACATGCAGGGGTATACCAACACCTGTATCTTCGACACTGATCACCAGATTCACCGCCCCATTTAAGTCACAGTAATTCCGAGTATCTTGGTCTACACCTGATCGATGTGACTTTTCTTGAGCGAGCAGTCGCTCAAACATTTCCCAGCTGTTTCGGTAATCAGCAGTTTCTCTGCCACTAAGGGTGTTGAATCGGTAGTTCATGTCCGTCAGAGGTCCGGCACTTTCAACCTCCCCATCCAGAGTGTCATCGGCTTCACCTTCATCCCCATCCATCAAGTTGTTGACATCCTCATTGAGATGAACGCAAACAAAAATGTGACCAGCTTCGGTGAACTGAAGCATCAACAAGAAAAGCTTAGAAAACATCAGAAACAAAAATACACGCTTAGCACAAAACATTCTGAAGATGAATTTAAAATGAATTAGTAGAGTAAACTTACTGTCACAAAGAACTACGGTTTCGAAAAACGAAATTCAAACAAAGTACCATGAATGATTGGATTCCAATTTCCTAATTACTAATACTTCCAGGATAGATTGAAAAATCGAGGATTATATTCTCAAAATTGAAGTTCACTTATGGTCATTACAGCAAGCTCAGAGCATTTAGAACTGATGTATACTTTGATGGAATTGCCAACGAGATTGGTGATGATCTGCCGAAATCGACCAGGGTCGCCGACGAGAATCTTAGGAACTTTCGCAGAGACGTAAACTGCCAGCTGACCATATTGATTCATGCACCACCCAAAAGCCAGAAAAGTGTAAATACAAAATCTTGTAAAGAACAGTTTAAATAATTATATCAGAACCCAATATTTACCTAATATTGTTGTCCCGTCATAAGGATTCATTCACAGTTGAAGCCCTAAAGGAGAGAATCAAACCTAACGACAGAAGATTCAAAACTTAAAACTTTACCTCGATACCTGAATCTCTTGATTGCCCATGGAAGAGAGAGAGTACATCGTCAAGGATGGCACGCAAATCAAATGGAACGTGTTCAAGCTCTACACGGCCTGATTCAATTTTTGCTTGATCAAGGACCTCATTGATAAGATTGATAAGTGCTTTGCCACTCGCTAAAGCAGTTCGGGCGTAGTCTAACTGTGCTGGATTCAGCCGAGTATTCGTCAACATATTAAGCATTCCTGCATCACAGCAATATAAGTACGCAGAACCTGTGTGCACAACTCAATTCAATTCAATTCAATCCAGACAAAACGAAAGACAGATCAAAGTGCATTGGATATTATGCACCGACCTAGAACACCATTCATGGGGGTCCGAATTTCATGTGATACTGTCGCCAGAAACTACACAATGTCAACAAGGAAATAGCTGTTAATTTAGGACAAAAAAATCAAAATTATTTTATGCAATTCCAATCATAGTTGAACACTCCCAAAAAACGCACTACTCCAGTTCCACGGGGCACAACTGAAAGAGATATGAGGTTGAGCCTGAGGGTTTGATTACCTGAGACTTCGCTATGACGGCATCATCTGCGCGCATCTTTAGCTCCTGAAATATGCGACAATTTTCTTCAACCTTGTCAATTCGGTTTCTTGACGCATGTAGCATGTGTCCAACCAAAAACGCTATCACAAATATACCTATTGAAGTGGATATGGCTGTCCAAGGAGGTAATGCATCCTCTTTAAACCTGCGCAATAATTTGCTTCCATAGAGTCATTCCATTGCCTGCAGGCTGCTACGTGGAGAAATATGCTCTTCTAGGCTAAATTTCACTTCACTAAAATAATATAGACCTGGCTAGCTAGTTATCCAACGAATTCACAGCAACGGTTGCAGCTAATATCCAGTATCCATCGAAGACTCCAAAAATAGGTAAGAAGTGGTGAGCACCAAAGCCATGGAAACAAGGAATTAGACTCATACAGGGCAATATCGAAAACCAGATGACAATCAAACACTGACTGAACTTCATTAACTAGATGTTAGCTCCTACATCAGGATTGTGAATCAAGAATACAATTACGACAAAAATCTTGATGTGTTGTGGTTAAGTATTCAATGACAACCACATTGCCAGATACTGTAAATTACTGCATGGAATGAACCCACACCTGCAACGCATTTCATGCCTTCGCGCCGGATCTCCGAAATCCAAGCTGCTGACATACGTGTTTTTTGACTTCTCAACATTGGTATGGCCATACATCACAAGAGGCATGGTCTCGTTGGTGATGTCGTACACATTGACGGCAATAATTTGACTACCAGCCATTTGACGAAGCAGATTCTCCACAAGTGTTTCGACGTCAAAAGCACCTCCAAGATACCTGTAACAGGATCGTAAATTCTTGTGACGGTGCAGAACGTGCTCAAGTAAAAAGAGACCCAACCACCAAACTAACACATTTAGTTCATTTTCACTATATAAAAATCGTACTATTTTGGATAAATCCGCAAAATGGACGTTGTACAAATCACAATTAAACTAAGACTGTCAAATTACCCGGCAGTTGCTTTGATCCGATCTTCCTTTTTCGCATCATCATGTAGGTCTGTGCAGTAGACGGCGAAGGTGAACACCACTCCAAGATGCTTAGATTCCAGAAGCCTGAATGGCTTGGTTAAAGCACCTTTCCCTAACTCTCGCGCTCGAATAATATTTTCGCGATCCTCCTGCAAAATCCAGATCGAGGGAACAATCAGGTTTCAGTTTCCCAGTGTTACAGCTAACATGCTGACTCCATCATACTGAGATGATAGATTAAGAGCATTGCTTTAGCGCCAGTTCCAAAACCTTTAGGCTCAGGCGATGAGACGGATGTGTACAGTAGGGGTACTGGAAGAGAGAGACTCAATTCTTATCACTAGTAGCTGTGTGAGTAGAAATTGGATAAAACAATTAACCTTAAGCCAGAGGCCAGATGAATTTCTGCTGCTGCTAATTTAGGGGGAAAATGTGTTTCATGTAGAGCTTTATCTTGACCTCAAGAAAGCTACATTACTTAGCCTAGAGAACCAGGGAGCTGAATTGGAAAGATACGAACCTGGCCAGACATCATATCAAGAGAGGTTAAATACGAGAGAGACTTCTGAGACATTGTGGTTGGGGCATATTCGTCGAAATCTTGTTGAAGATCTTTCGAATACATTTCCTTTATAGTCCAGCCATGTGCTGACTCGAACAATTTCCGATTCGCATGCAGCACTCGTTCAGCAAATGCAACACCACTCATCAACGGCCTCTCAAAAGCTGTTCTTTCAGCATAGGTAGCAAATGTTTCCTGCCATAAAATTAACAGAACACAAAAGATAGTTCATGTATTGATCGACGTTTCCGCTCAGGAGCACTTGCAATTGTTCACTATCTATGACTGAAGAAAATCACATGCTAGCAGCAAGTTCTGTAGGAAAAGTCAGCCACCTGATTAATAGCTGAGGGTTGCTTGCCAAGATGAAAGGTAGTGAGAAGAGCTGTAAGTGCTCTAACGTGGTTCATGCTGGCCTTGAATTGCTCCTGAAATTAGAAGCCACTTCAAACGCGTAAGGGCTATCTCGTTATGCTTGCTTTGTCAAAATAAACGCAGTCTTTTGGAATATTTGTAACAACACGAATGTATCTTTCAAACATCACTCAGCAAGTATTTGCTAAAAGCTCTGAGAAAATCGGGTTCTCAACAGGAAAGTTAATCCATCTTAATTCTTGACTCGCTGCATACTAGTTCCAATAGCATACATACATAGCACTCTTCGCCTAATAAAGCATGAAAAAGAATCACTCCAACCTTCGGTGGTTGGACAGGCAATGCTAAATGAGGAGAAGTCTAATGCATTGATTGAAGACTAATCACATTAGTAAGAAGAGACGTTCAAATAGAAGCATGGTGAACCTTGCCACACTTTTTTTAATACTTAGTGTTGTGCTAAAAATGGCCACTAATAACAAAACTGAAATGTAAGATTGGCCTCGACAAATATTGGACCGGTCTTGGTATGTTACAGCTGCATTGGCATATCAGATGCTTGTTCTACAAAGCACATCTAATACTCGGATCGCCACACACTGTGGATGAGCAACAAACTCGAAAGACTGAAGTTTACCTCAAGCATGCGGGCCCGTCCCTCGCACATGTTTGCAAGATTCTCTCTTCTCCGCTCCAGCATGTCGAATCTCATGGCCAGAAAAACGGATAGAGAAACAGCTCCCATAAAAACCACCCACACAACGAAAGCTTTAGTATGCCAATTGTGGCCATACCTGGATCTAGCTTCTGAATCCTTGTAAGTAGGTCTAATGTAAGAAATCCCTGTATCCTTCCACCAATTCACCCCCAATCGCCCAGGTCCTGTTGTCCTGTGCATGTATACTCCTCTCCCACCTTTAAGCGGAACTTTTGATCTGGAGCTTCCGTTTGAGATGCAGGGGCTAGAGTATGAGCCCCTCTTGGCTCCATTCTGGGTCGACATTAGATCCTTCTTGAAACGAAATATCTTCAGCACTCGTGATAATGAAGTCTTTGCCTCCTGTCTTGTTACAGATTTTACCCTGAACACGGGAACCTATTCGTAGGAACTTTTGGAGGTCAGGCTTCACGAATTTTGGACATATAGTATAATTCTTCAAAAATCGGTTTTCAGTCCATAAACGAACTAGGTGGATTACACGATCTGTCAAATATCATGGACCCTTCCTTTCACGTCACACGCTACTATTTTGCATCGAAGTCAACTGTAATTATCGCCCTGAGGAAGTTCATTAACTCCAAGGGAGCGTATCGAAACATCAGACACAATAACAGGGACCAAGTATTGTTTACACAAGTCCCGATTGTTCAACATTGGTCATACCTCACTCCCCCAAAACAAAAAAAGTATATGCTGTAGCAAACTTCCATAGTGGAAGGCTTCCTAAACACCACAGCAGTTCCATACGGGACTTTGGATCGGCAAAGAACTGAACAAACATCGCAACCGTCACAACTATTCTCAATGCTGCATGTAGCCTGAGCTACTTAAGGCATCGCCGCCACGAGAGCGCACCACAGCAACGTCATCCAATTTTCTCAAATATCCTGAATTCAGCAAATGATTCCAAAACACGACTCTCTTACACACATGCCTCGCACAAGGCCAATAGTCCAGCTAACGCCACTCAACACCCGCACCATCGTATGTTAAACATCCAAACAAAGTCATGACTCGACAACTAAAGATAGACATGCATTTCACCTGAGATAGAACATCATCAGCAACCGTCAATTACCACGACGCATTGCCCTTGCACTCTCTTCCGACTCGCTCGTCCTCGTACCACTGGTTCCTCAGAACTTGGAAACCTGAGCCAAGCCCACACCACCGTGCACATCACGCCCGTCCACGTTAAACGCCCACTCCGGCGAGGAAGCTCGGAAACACAACCGATCAAGCACGGTGTAACACAGCAGCGACGAGAAATACGAAATGCACTAAAAGAGTGAGGAAAATGAAAGTACCAAGCGGGGGGAGATGATGATGCTGTAACTGTACGATTTAGAGCAGGAGAGGCTTCTGCCCGCTGTTGTTGCCATGCTGTCAGCGCACTGCAGAGATACTTCTCCGCCGTGTCCCTACATCAATTGCTCGCGGTTACTGCTCCCTCCCCTGAACTTGCGACAGCAAAAGCCTGCAGCTGCTGCGGCCGAAGCTGCACGCATTCCGATGGCGCTCCGACGGAGCTTTCACTGCGCCGCGGTCGCATTCAGGGAGGGGAGCTGAGGCGGGCTAATGGAGCCAGTGCCTCGGATGAATGAATCTGAATACGAGACCATATGTACATTGTAATGGATGAATAAAAGAACTTCCTGGGTATTTCATCTATCCCGAGAATCAGCAAGAGAGCCCTGACCCGTTTTTCATCCATTACTCAGTTTCCCACAATATGGGCTGTCATTTTCACTTGTACTTTCATGGGCCAGGTCAAAATCCATCTGTCCGTTCACCCATCCATCCATTCGTCATGTGGTTGTTCACTTTTGCATCCATCCATATATGTAACATCCGTTCTAGTGTTCGTGAACACAGTTGCTTAAGTTTACATTCACATTAGTGGATATAAATAGAAACTTCCTGTGTGTACCACAGGCAATCACACTTCCAAGAGCAGAATCCTTGACGGGGGGGAAAATCGTCAACATTTGGTCAACATCCATTAAGATCCATGGATGATTTCCGAAACATAAATTCACACGCAACTTGGATGAACATATGAGCAAAACTGATCTTATCGTCGACGAAAAGTCATCTATATAAAGCATCATCCACTTGGACGAAGTCATCCACATCCAAGCTGTGGATGGCCAGCCGCAACATAACAACAGTGTTTCAGGCACTATCCTCCGACATCACTTGTTTTGTTTTTTAGCGATCAAGTGTGCGGTCGTCAGATTGGCATCGAAGCTTATTTTAGGTCATCATCAGATTTCAAGAAGGATGTGGTCTTGGACACAATCTTTCCGAAGTGAAGTGTGCTGCGGCGGAGAAGCACTGGCTACTCGCCGCAGCCGTTGTTGAGCGCGAGTTTTGAATGCCCCCGGCAATCAGATGCACAGTCCAAATCACACAAACACTCTCTCTCTCTCTCTTTCTCTCTTTCTCTCTTCCCTTCCTCGAAGGACAGCCACTCCTCTGCTCTTTCTCTCTCTCGCCTCATTGGTCTGCAAACTTTGGTGTAGAAAACTAGTTTGGTTTGTGACCTGTTCCGAAGTTGCAATAGATGCGGCGCGGTTTGTTGGAAGGTCGAGGAACGGCTCAGCTTGTGACATAGTCAGCATGCTCAAACACTAAATCCATGCTCCAATCCCTTTCCTTTGTTAAAAGCAACTGTTCGAGAAACAAGCAATGCAGTAGTTGCTCTTTTCTTCCCTTTTCTGTTTCCGTTTTTTTGCCCACAAGTCGAAGAACGGTTGATGAGTTTGGATGTGAACTAGTCTAAGATGGTGCTTGCTTTCTGTGTGTTAAAAAGAGTGATTGAATTGAATAAGAGAATTTAAATCCACAATTTGGTTGGATAACTTGACATTTGGTTTTATAGGATTTTTCATTGACATATATGTACATGTATAATTATATTTTTTATCCAAAATTTTACGAGTGCTAGAATTTTTTATTATTTTTTCTCCAAATTCTCAATGAAAGTTGAGTGTCTAATTGAAATCTGTTGATGTAACATGCAATGACCATGGTTTTTGAACTACAAAATGTCAAGGTAAAACAAAAATGGCTTGGAACACTTCTAAATTGTAACAATTAGAAATATAATTGACTCTTTTAAAATTAAACAAATGAGGTATCCAGTAGTTTAAAATATGGGTTTAAAGAATTTAAGTTTTTATATACAGTAAATTTTAGAAGAGATAATATATTGTAAAAACAATTAATTTTACAAATGATAATTTTTGGTTTTTTATTATATTACGAAGTGGGATGTAAAATGTGTGTAATTAGTTTGGATTAATATCAACCTCACATTACAATTAAAATTATATGGTTCACATTTATGTGCAAGTTGTACTTAAAATCAGTTCTTTGAAAATCTACCTGTATTTAACATATTCATTACTAGGAAAACATTATATTATTAAAAACGCTTTTATAGAATGGAGTCAAAATATCCAACCATGCAATAGCAACATTTAATCATGATCAGCAAAAAGTAATGCTATGTTGATTTTATTAGAAACTTATCCAATATTGTCCAAGGATACCCTTGAAATGGACAAGTTTTAAAATATTAGTTTTGAAATATAAAATGATTTCTTTTTTCTCTTTCATTTATTATTTCTCATTCGTTTTATTTTCTGATGAACAACATGGGATGGAGCGACGAAGCTGCTTTTATTCTAATTACGGAATGAAATATCTATGTCAATGGCATTAACCACTACCTACAAGAACCCAACCACTAAGAAACAGTACCATTCTCTTGAATTAGTCAACTACATTAATACATCTCGTTGTGTTGAAAAATAACAACGACTTAAGTAAAAAGTGCAGCCACACTATTCTAATAATACCGATACATAGTTTTTAAAATGAAAAATAAATTTAGCGCCTTATTTTATGTCCATTTATGTACCAGATTAATAATATAATGTTTTCATAGTAAATGAATAGTTTTATGTCCATTTATGTACCAGATTAAGCATCTTTTCCAACAGCTTTTAGATGGCTTTATTACTTGAATTTTCATTTGTTTCAATCTGGTCAATTTTTTTATTCAGACTTTTTGGAAGGAAGAAAGCAACCAAGCATCTGATACTCATGTCAAAATTAGCTTCAAATTTATGGCTTCAGGCTACATTGCATTTATGGGTGGATCAACTCTTATTTTTGGGTTGGAGTGTGTACTTTCCAAACCCATTTCAGTGCAAAATTATACTTCTAAAATTGCACGAGTATAATTTACTAATATATTTTTTTTGTATTATTAAAATAATGCGTGCTAATACACAAAATGCAATTAGTGACAAATTTTATTCACAGAAGGGCCATGAACCACTTTTTTTTAATTTTAATATATATATATATATATATATATGGATAGATAGATAGATAGTCTTAGCAGCATGTTAAACTCTTTGTTAGATAGTTGGTATAATTATTTCCAAGATATCTGATGCATCCTTGGAAAAGGAGTCTTGACAGATGCAATAATTCAAATACCTTGTTGTCCAAAGAACTACCGTAACTTATTTGGTAATGGGACGGCATTAAATTTACTTCTGGAAACTTATCAGTAGCCTAAATTTTAAGAGATTTCTTCAATTAGTAAATGTGAGTGCAACAAAGTCTTTTAGTTCTATCCAAAGATGTTTGTCTAATTTAATTTAAATTCTGTTTGTCTAAAATTGTCTTGTAAAGTACTTGATTTATTTAAATTCGGATGAATAAGTAGTCATCTACCATATAAATATATATATAAATATATAAAAAAAAAAATATATAAAAATATATATATTAATATATATAAATATATATATATATATATATATAAATATATATATATATATATATATATATATATATAGTTCTTTCTTCATTGTAATCTTGTGCACAAATGCATTCAAAACCAAAAAAAAAAAAAGAAAAAAAAGAAAAAAAAACTTGAAATAAATATGGGGATAAATTAATGTTTGAGTGAAGAAAATGTGTATACATACATAGATATACACACATACATGTAATAAATGTTCAACAATATTTTGATGATTTTTAGTTTGTCTTTTAAATCTCAATGAAATCGAATTATTGCTTTGTAGTATCTGATTGACATTTACAATGGATTTTATAATTTATTAAATTAATAAGAATTCTTCTTATACTAAGTTTTATTTATTTACTTAATTATAAAATTTTAAAATATTACTGTAGCTATTCCATTTTAGGATCAAAATACTGTCGTCTACAGTCAAATTGTAATTCTTTTGCTTTTGTTTTGTTTTTGTTTTTTTTTGTATATACATAGATTTTTTCTAATAGCAATATATTATTAAATTTAGATAGTATAGCCATTTCTCAAGAAACTAGTAGCATTATCCAATACTTTTCTAAAATTTGAGGGAAAAAATATTAATTATTAGAGATTATTATTCATCAAAGGTAGTGCATCGAAGGCAAAATGGAAACCATTCTTGCCAAGGCCATAAATCATCTCTTGCTTGCTTGCCATGTGGACTTGCTAACCACCTTACCTTACCTCACCAATTCATGTATACCCACATGGCCTTGCCACATCCTGGCGGCCACACAACTTCTATTTATTCCCTCTGTTAATTAATAAAAATCAATAAAAATCAATTAGTTTTTAGAAATCAAAAGCTGCTAATTATTTATCATAGAAAAAAATTGGTTCCCAAAATTTTGATTAATTATTAGGGATTGTTAGTTTTTGGAGATTAATTAATGGAAAAAACATTGTGTTTTGATTCGAATATTACAAAACTCTGATTGAAACTTGAATCATTTTCTTATTTAAAAAAACATCAGCTTATCAAAATCTAATATGTATTGCAGTACTATGTTGCTTCTATTGAATATTCAAAATTGCATTATCACATGCATATTAACAAACCTTAAAATTCTTTATACCTCTTACATTCATTCATTCATTTAAAAACTTGTCTATCAAAGCGGACAACAGAGTCACTAATAACATCGCTAATCCCAAAATCTACAGACCCCAAAAAGCTCAAGCTAAAACTAGTCAAGAAGAGAATATAAGTTTATAAAGATGTGATACAATGATACAGATACTAGATTCACTCTCATCTACCCAAAGTTTTGTTAAGAAAACATGACGAAATTGCCTGGTATGATCAGTGAAACTAGAATGACTCAAAATGGAATGTCATGACGTGCTAAATCTTGCACAAAATTACACTGATGACAATGAACAATGAATCAAGGAGTTGGGCAATATCTACACTAACTTCTGAACAAACTACACTAAAAATACGCTCTATCCACATTTTCACTCAGGAGAGGTTAAGAATGAGAAGTAGGAAGACAAAAGAAGAAGAAGAAGAAGAAGAAGTAGAAAAGTAGCACATCATGGCACAAGGACTATGGAAGTATGGCATTTATGCACAACACCTCTACCGTTACATCTTTAACTACAGAGACACACAGAGACGAACACGATATCA